ATATATATATATATACATTAATTATAGATTAGGAAAATGTTAGAAAATTTTAGAATTAATTTCTTTAATTTAGACTTTAATATTTGATTATAACATTGCTATTTATCGAATTAAACGTATGTTTTAAATTACATTGTCTTTTTTTAAACTAATTATATTTAAAATAGTCAAAGATCATTACAACTTCTTTGTGACTTGTATAAAATTGCAAGCTTAAACTACATATGAGTCCTATTTTTACTATAACTTTTAAATTTTATAAAATGATAGATGAAATTGTTTTATAATATATACTTGTTTAATACAATGATTGTAAATTTGAATTTTGAAGAAAAAAAAAGTAATTTTAAAAAATTGAATTTTGGAGACAAATAAAAAAAATGGATCGACCCATAAAAAAATTTGTGATGTGCACAGGATCAAATTTGGGTTTAATTTAGAAGACCGAATTCAATTCAAACTTTTTTTTTTCCTAACGATAAACACAGCTCCATTTTTATATAAATACACTCTTTTTTATAAAAAAAATATATTAAATCCCTAAACTTCTCTTAATATTTTTTGGAACTTATAATTTTCAGATTTGCACTTCTTTCTTTTTCCCGTACCTTCCTTGTTCTTTCTTTTCCCGCACCTCCCTTCTTCTTTCTTTTCAACGCTTTTCTTCTTCTCTTCTTCGTCACTTTCTTCTCCGACCTCTCTACCTCCTCTTCTACCCTTTTCAATTTTTGCAATTAAAAAATAATATATAAGCAGGTTTGTGGATATGATCGAAAAATGAGAATAATAAGAAAGTTTTGTTTCGGAAAGTACTTTCTGAAATAGTAAAGTTTTTGTTCCAAAAAGTACTTTCCAGAATAATAAAGTTTTTTTTCTAAAAATACTTTTCATACTAATAAATTCTTATTCCGGAAAGTATTTTTCAAAAATATTTTGTTACATAATTCTGGAAAGTACTTTTCATAATATTAAAGTTATCGTTTCAGAAAGTTCTTTTCAAAATTATATAAGAAACATACTTCCAGAAAATACTTTCCTGGAACAATAATTTTACTATTCTGGAAAGTACTTTCTGGAATGCTAAATTTAACATTTCGAATCTTATTTTTCGAAAGTATGACAAATTTAACTTACATGTATTTTTATTTTCGTCATCTACCATCGTCGTCTACGATCGAAGTAGTATATTATCCATAAGTAATGTTAAATAAGTTTAAAAAAAATTATAAATATAGAATGTAATTTAATATATTAATTTGTACCTTGTATTGAATGTAGAGAATAATAAAGATTGAATGAAAAATTAAGGTTTAAGAAAGAATAGAGTAGAAAACAAAAATAAAATTTAAAAAATAGAAAGATAAAATATAATTATGTTGATTATAAAAAAAGAAAAATCAAAAATAAAAAATAAAAAAGAATAAAATTATCAAATAGTGACTAGAATGATTAAAAAAGAGAATGAGAAAAAGAAAACGAAGAAAGAAGAAGAAAAATGATGAAAAAAGAGAGTGAATAAAAAAAAATTTTAAAAATAAAAATTTAGTTAGAAGAATATTTTAAGAATTTTGTTTAAAGAAAATATTGGAAGTATATTTATAAAAGATAGGAGGTGTCATCAGTTTTTTTTTTTTAGCCTAATTCGTTGTAGCTCTCATCCGCAATGGGCCAAATAGCCGAATAACGCGTTTTGCCAAGTTTAAATCTTATTAAAAGAATCAATATTATTAATTCAATCCAACCGAGGAAAGCTTTTACTGAAATGAAAAAACATTTATTACATCACAAAATCAAATATAATAAATAACATTCTAATAAAACCTCATTAGTTTTAGATGTTTACAATCAATGTTAAGGATTTATGTGAACATTTTCTTGAAAGATATTTTAAGACCCATTCGGACTGTATACATCTCATTAAATAAGAGATAAAAAGGGACACAAATATAATACATGTTTTCTAATAAAATCATAAAACCAACGTTAAGGATTTAGGCTAGAATTTTCTAAAAATATTTTGACACCATTCTACATGTGAAAAGTCAGGACTTATCTTGAAAAATTATCCGTCTAGCGATTCAAACGAAACCACTACACTACAACCATTATAACTAGAAAACAACATTTTATCATACAAATAAATATCATCTAAAACCACAGGTATTGAAAAACACTTGAAAAAAATTAAATAGCTACTTATATGGCTCCTCGGCTCCACTAACAATAAAGTAAAGGAATGCTATCAGTAAACTAATCATCCATAAAAATTCCTTATAAGATATCCTTTCACCAATAAGTAAAAAAAAAACAAAAAAACAAAAAAACTGAGGTTTATGAACATTGTTTAACAAATGAGCATCTGCTACACCGAACATGTCAGCAACAACACAGCTACAACAAAGTCACTCGGCAATCTCCAGAGTACAATGGAGGTTCTTACATGATCCTAGTTCTCCTCAGATGGAGATCTGTTGTATGACAAAAGAACCACAACTTAGAATACAGGCAACTAATGAATCTATTCATTTTCTTGTAATGAAACAATACTAGTAAGTTAGTTCCTTACCCTATCAGAAGCATGCATATTCGTTTGAAAACCATAATGAAAATAATATAAGGTAAAATGAACAGAGAAAACTAATCGAAATAAATTATTAAAGCTAAGAAGGAGAACACATTTAATAGAACAGAAGGTAGTTCCTATGTTTGAATTTTGTCCCAAAAGTTCTCGTATCCAAAAAGTTGCCAAATAAAGTTCAAAATTAGTATTAATGCTTGTATGAAAATAAGGAAATTATTATATCTAGAAAATCACAATGAGATGAAAACAATGCAGCCAACTTAGCAAATAATCAGTTTTTTGGTCATACCTTTAACTAGTTGCTGGAAGAAACACCCTTATTAGCTGGTTCTTTGTAACCTTCTTTCTACATGTAGGGCATTTACCCTGTACAGCTACAGCCGCTTTAATGCAATTCTTGCAAAAAATATGACCACACCTTGTTGACATTTCTTCTACCAAAGGAGCCATACATATTGGACAATTAAATACAGGCTCCTTAGGAGGCTCCTTAGGACATTCAGGTGACTTCCTAGCATTTTCACACTGCAAAAGGAAAATAATCAGCAATTCGAACTGCAGAAGAAGTCTTTAATCAACTGAAAGTTCTATATAAGTTTGACAGTGGCAAAACATCAACAACTACTAAAATTTGCATTTCAATATAAGCTAGATGTAAATATTTACTTCACTTGGCAAATTGTTGTGAAAGGTTATTTATTTCCAATATCGATATTATTGGAATTTATAATATCTTATAACATTATGTAAATAGACAATAAATAGTCACTACACTTTGCTAAGTTGCACATAAAAGGGAGTGCAATCCGATACTATTAAGGGTGGCAGTTCAGGCAGCAGCAAACATTAAATTGATAAATTACAACAAAAAATAAGAATTGTGGATTTCAAGCAGTGCAGCAGCAGAAAAGAGGATGAAACAAAAACAAAGTCATTAAAATGAGGGCATTATGAAAATCATTGGCATATTTTGATCATGAGGCTCTTACAAAATATCAAAAGGATAGACAAAATCCAGTTATGTTTTACCAAAAGAAAAAAACTCTTAATGATATTAAAATTATGAAATGCTGTACTATTATTTCCAACAAAATTCATGAAATAGTCTAGAAATCTCAAGATGCAGAGGTTGCATTTCGTCATAGAAAAAAACTTTTCAATGAATCAATCAATCATAAAATCTTTTATCTGCATAGTATGTTAAGCCTGAGAAACCGCAGTCCCATCAAAGGTGAGGGACACAGGTTCTCTATTTAGGGTTTCTCTCAAGAGTTTTTCAGCCTATCTTCTATAAGATCAACTCTTCATACAGGGGCCTCTATGGTTATTTCCTCGCATGAAATGATCAAACCATCTTATGCAAGATTCCATCATCTTCTCCACAATAGATTGCTGATCTTTAATAATCTATTCATTCTTAATCTTATCTTTTGGATATGTCCAGTCATCCATGACAGCATTTTCAACTCCACCTCATTAATAATATATTACATATCTGGAATCTAATTTATATATATAGAAAAACAGAGGAAAAGTATGGTTTGAGGGATTTTATTACCACAGAACAGCTACTGCTTTCCAAATTTATATAAAGAGCACCATTGATGATTGTTTGGTTTTGGGGATCACCTCTTGTCTCTTCTTCTGCAATAATCATAAATGAGAGATGTTAAACCATAACAATAATACTAAGAATATATCCAAAACAAAAACCTTCAGAAACCAAGTCATATCCAACAGAGCAAAATTGAATGCACAAGGATACTCTGCAACACATTCATTGTTTCCATAATTTAAAGTTCAATTTATTGTTATCAAATAAAGGATACTATAAATCCAAGGACATGGATTGATTCATTTACTTATCAAATATAAATTTTATTTGTGCTGATGACTATTAATTCATTTCCTCATTTGTTGAGTCTTCTCTAGTTCTTATTTCTTCCCTTAGTTAAAACTTTTCATTTGAGATAAAACCTGTTGACAGTTTTCAAACATGATGCACAATATGGTCTACAAGAGTGAAAAACTTTTTTTATTCACAGTGGGACCAAATTAAATTTCATATCTAGAATACTAAATTGTTCTTTTATGTGTTTCCTAATGCATTGCTTCCCTGTTTGAGGGCCATAAATATGACTTCCTTTACTTTGCTAGAGTCTACATGGGCCAGAACCACCTATGACGATGACTAATAATAAAACTAATCATAAAATTAATCGTGAAAGTAAAAACACCATCACCATGCTCAGAGATGCAATGCAGATAATGTTTCAAATGGAGGTGCAGTGTCACCAGTTATCTATGACACATAACATTACAAAAACATTTTTCAATCCATTTAGACCATAGAATAAGCCAACCAGGTCAATCTACTGATTATAATGCCAACTCAATCAAAAAACAGTTTTCTTCTATCAGAAACACAATTTTGCTCAACAGAACACCACAGTGAAGAAAAAGTGGAGTGTCCTATCTACGATAATTTTGAAACAAAATGGAACTCACTTAAACTCATCAAATTACCCAAATTCACATGGAATTAAAAATTATTAATAATCAGAAAATTAAAATTCATTACAAAGATAAAATAATACAAACATTTCACCACAACAATGCTTCGCTTTCAAAAACAGAAAACTATATATATAAATTCCAACTGACCAAATGACAGTAAAAAATCAATTCAATTAAGGATGATTACTTCTTTAATGAGGCAAGGCCTAGCTCAAGTCAATCTACTGGTTATAAATCAAACCTGACTGAAAATATGGTTTTCATCTTCGAAAACACAATTTTGCTCATCATAACAACAAAGTAATGAAAAGGTGGAGGCACTACAAAGGGCAGACTTGACATATTACAAATTTTGTAACAAGATGAAAGCCAAACCATTCAAAGTCATCAAAATACCAACATCCACATAGAATCAAGGGAAAAAAACATAATTTTGCTCGTCAAAATAACAGTGATTAAAAAGTGGAGTACCACAGAGAGAAAACTGTTGAGATACATACAAAGTCCCACATTGTTAGAACCATAAGCTTATAAATACACACAATGAAAACAAAATTGTGCGGACTATCACATGCTATGTGAATTTCACAGCATAATAGAAGCCTAATCATTAAAAGTCATCAAAATACCTACATCCACACAGAATCACAAGAAAAAAAAAATACAATTTTGCCCGCACAATTTTGCTCACAAAAAAAAGTGATAAAAAAGTGGAGTATCACAAAGAGTAGATTAACACAGGCTGTGAATTTTTTAACAAAATGAAAACAAGCGATTCAAACTCATTAAAATACCAACATCCAAATAGAATTAAAAAATAAAAATAAAAACACTAATTAAAACAAAATAACAATCCAATATAAAAACTCAAAAAAAAAAAATCCCAAAAAATTCATTCAGTGCTAAAAAAAAAAAAATACCTAAGTCCACATCAACAACCATCCTCCTGCGAACTCTCCTCCTCGCATTATTGCTCTTAGCCTGAGACCACAAAAAAAAAATAATCAAAATTCTCAGCAGAGCTTAATGAAGGGATACAATAAAATTTATTGTAATTCTCGATCATCAGCAATTAACCACAATTTTAAAAAAAAAAATCAGTTAATTTATTATTTTTTTTAAAAAAAAATTATACCTGCGCGAAAGACCTAGGTGAAGATTCTACAACATCGTCATCAATGGCTTCGACGTCAATCATGGGAAGTTGCTGTTGTTGATGCTGCGTGGAGGGTCCCTCCTCCTCTTCCCGAACATTCTCGGCGGGTGGATCACGGTTGAGGTCGAGCTCCAAATTCATCTTCCTCCGCCGCGTGCTCCTCGCCGTTCGCGAACTCATGTCACCTGTCACCGACCTGAAACACGGACACAAGACAAGGGCACGTGAGAATGCAAAGGATGGCACGTGAGGGAGAATTGAAAAGGAAACATACGTGCAGGAAGAAGGAAGAAGGAAGAGAAAGAAGGGATTGTGGAGATGATATATATAAGAAAAAAAGAGAGAGAGAGAGAGAGGAAGGAGAAGGGGGTTGGGGAGAATAGAGGAGAAGACGGTGACCAAAACATGAAGGGGAAATGGTGGTGAATGTGATGACGTGGCAATTACACACATGTGCCACTCCACCACACGCATTTCACAGACTATCTTTTCTACTTTACTCTATCTTTTCTATTTTACCAACTTCTTTATCACTATTATTCAATTAATAAATAATATCAATTCAATCAATTCATATGTCTGAAGTTTATTGGTTTTTATAATTAAAATTTTAAAAATTATATTAATTATAAATAAATAATAATTTTTTTATTTTTATCATATTATATTATTTATTAAAATAAATTTAAAATTTTCTATAGTGTATTTTTTACTGATATTTATATTTTTATTATATGATAAATATTAAATGTGTTTTTTATACTTTCAAGATACTAAATAAATTTATTTTTAGAGTAATAAAAATATTTGTAAGATAGTATTATCATATTATTGATGTGCATGTGTGTTCACAATTTCTAGTAATTAATTACTACTTCCGATGGTTGATATTTGATCAATATTATGATTATTAAAAATATATTATTATATTATTAATATACTTATTTGTATTTTTTATTTAAATAATTAAAAATAAAAATTTAAATATGTTAGAATTTCATATCTAGCCATCATTTACTTTACCATTAATAGAAATTTGAAGAGATGAAAATTTAATTATTTTAGAAAATTTAAAAATAATTTAATAATGAGGATTTAGAAAATATCTATAAGATGATTTATAAGGTAATATATTATTATTTTTCTTATTATACTTAAATTTCTCTTTTTCTTTTTCTGATTGTCTATATTTTATTCAAAACAAAAAAAAAAGATAAACATACTAAAATTTCATATCTATCCATCATTTCCTCTATTATTAATGTTTGAAGAAATACATATTCACGAAGAAAATATATGTTCTTTTTGTTTTAGAAAATTTTAAATTTTGTTAAAAGAGGAATTAGAAAAAAAAATATTTTTATACTAAAAAAGTTTGATAGAATAATAGTGTTTTTCTTAAATAATTAGATGTGATAAACAAAATATAAAAATAAAAATTGTTTTTAGATAAAATGATTATTAAATTTTAAAAATTACTAGTCAATATTATACATGTTAATATCATTTTATTAAAATTTTAAGAAAATCAGTTTTTTAATAATGATTTACTCAAAATAAAAGGACATTTTTTATTGTCTATTTTGTTTATTCAAACAAAATATAATAGAAAGTAAACACTTTCTAGTATTTCATATCTATCCATGATTTCCTTTATCATTAATGGTAATTTGAACAGATACGTATTTTCATTAAGAAAATGTATATTTTTTTTTATAGAAAATTTTGAATTTTTAAATGAGAATTTATAAAATATTTATAAGAAGACTTATAAGGTAATATATTATTATTTTACTTATGGTACTAATATTTTTTTAATTGTCTATTTTTTAATTAAAAAAAATACTATTATAATTACATATCTACCCACCATTTCCTTTACCATTAATGAAAATTTGAATAAATACATTTTCTTGAAGAGAAATATACATTTGTTCACTACAAGAAATGTTACATATAGTGATATACAAAAAGTATCACTATAGATATAGGTATATATCTATTTGACATATAGTCATATACAATTTTATTGTTGATTTTAAATGAGATTTAATAACATATGTTGTGTGTCACTATAGTTTATACTCACACTTTTTAACAACATATCAACATATATTACATTTATCGTATGAGTAAAAGTAATTTTTAGTAACATATATTGTATTATTATATACCAATTTTCTTATAATAATTTTAAAAAATTTTAATTTTTTTTAAAAGAGAACTCAGAAAAACAATTTCTAGACTTTTTACTTAAAAAGCTTAGAAGAAATAGAATTTTAAAAATAGTCGGTGGTCAAAAAAATTATAAAAATAAAAATAACTTGTAGATAAAATAGTTATTAAATTGTAAAAACTAATAATCATTTTTATATATGTTTAATATCTTTTTATTGGATTTTGAAAAAAAAGTTTTTTTAGAATGATATAATAAAAAATTTGAAAGTTTTTTTTATTGTTTTACAATATTAAATAATATCTTATTAATAAAAATTATGTTTCACAAATATAAATTAATTATTAATTATCAATTTTAATATATCATATTCATAAAAATATACATATTAAATATTAAATAGTGTCTAAAATCTTAATTTGACTAACAATAGATTTTAGTTAAATTATATTATTATTTTTTACTATATCTTTTTTTTTTCCTCACTCTCTACATATAATATATCTTTGACTTGCATTTAGTGCAGTGTAAAACATGCAAAATGTCATTTAATAAAAGTATTTAACTTTTAATGTTTTAAATAAGAAATGGTCAAGGTATTTAATGACAATATTATTAAAAGTAATTAAAATATAAATATTATTTAATATTAATTTTATTGGATAATTAAAATATTTCATTTAATGTATTAAATGTTCTTTAGTTTATACATTTAAGACACTCATTTTTTAATTTAAACATTTAGTACAGTAAAAAAATATATTACTGATTTTTTTTAAAATGTTATGTCATTTGGAATTATTAAAAAAACATTAAGTATAATGTATAAAAATAAATAAAAATAGAAAAAATTGGAAAATTCAATTCATTTTTTCATTCAATTAATATATTGAATTCTCTTTAATTTACACATTAGAAATAGTTCTTATTAAGTTCTTAAAATTCAACTAAATCATGTTGTTCTTATACGAATCATTTCCTTATTGATCTTTCTCCTTGATGTTTGATCTTTTTTGAAGTTTGAGATAATGATTGTTTGAATCCTTACCCCGAATGGTGGAGGGGTACCTGCAAAGACACTCTGACACTCAAGTAAGTAATCGGTTCAGAGCAATAAATATTGTAATATTAAATGATCATATCTCTTCAGTCCCATCAATATTGTATTTATAGTGACGTGTTTGAGCCTGACCGGCCTTTTAGATTAAAAGGTTAATAACCTAAGTTTTATATCCTAATATATGCTAACGTGGACGCTCGCTATTTAACCATGATTAAGGTAATGTGGTTCCACTAGCGAGGGACAGTTCGACCTTTCTCATGGTTGAATACCCCTTCAGGTTACGTATTAGCCAAAGGGGTACTCGATTCCCATGGCTTCTAGGTGGGGGCTTGCTTACTTGGCCTGTAGTTAGGTTGCTCGGGTCGAACCAAGGCTGAAGGGGTGCTTGGTCGGGTATTAGGTGTCCGACTAATATGGAGGTCGATGGGTTATTTTGATTCCCTAGTAAACTTCCCCCCCAATCCCGAGGAAATAAGGCGAAAAGGGTTCGAAAGTGGTTATCTGGGTTTGTGAATATGGGTTTTGTTTGTTTTGTGTCTCATATCTTTGGGTAACTAAACTGACAATATTTGATGCTATTGATTTGCATGATAGCCAAAAGATTTGTGAAGTATTCGATTGTCATGATGGTCGGGGTGTTTATGATGTAGTCTATTGATTTGTGAGTTGGTCGCATGGTGGTTCTATGAGGTACGCGGTCTAAATAGTGGTTGGGTAGTCTAGTGAATTATATTTTGGTTATGTGGTCCTAGTAACTCCCCCTTCAAGCCCCTGGATTCGAAGGAAGGGTTTGTGAAGTGTTTGATTTATATAATAGTCAAGGGGTTGGTGAAGTATTCGGCTAATATGGTGGCCGAAAAGGATGTTCGGCCAATATAGTCGTTGGTAGGGGCTGGATGTTCAAGGAGGCACATGGTGTTTTTTAGTTAACCGAGGGGTGTATTCCTTGTGTGCTTGGTATTTAGGTGACATCCAATAGGCGTTATGTATGAAGGAACTAAATCGTTTCTAGAAAGTTATCCATTCTTGGGATTCATGCTGTGATGTGAAGGGTCACGTATATCTAACCGTTGGATGAAGGGTGATCTAACAATGTGAACGAGGTACAACTCTTCATTTGTTGTGCATGGGGGTCTATATAAGGGAGGTGCTTGTTGGTGGCCCCTCACGCGTATTGCTCTACACCGAGAGGGTCTTTCAACTTTTGGCTAATAACAGGGGAGAAGAGGTGCCAAAGAGTTCGTCGAGGCGTTCTTCAGTCAGTAGTGCTACAAATACGTCGGGGTCTTCGGATCAAAGCTTCTCGATGCCGAGATGGATGCTTGGGATTATAAGCAAAAGTTTCCCTAGTGTGAGCTACCAGGATACAAATGGGTTGATAGGGAAGTTACAACGTATTACTCATGTTTTTATCAACGAGGCATTGTTGAAGGTCTGATGAAGAGGTGCGCACTAGCCTAGTGGGAAAATTAGGACCTGTATCCAGTGATGTAGAGTCGATGGGCGTGCTGATGCTGACTTAGTGTTTCTTGAGAAGCGAGGTGATCAAGGTTACTTCTTCTATGTTTACGAGTGTTTATTCAAGGAACTTGGGGTATCTCTGCCTTTGATGATTTCCAAATGGGTGTTCTACGAGTCCTTAATATGGCCCCAAATCAACTTCATTTGAATGGGTGGCCAGTAATCCAGGCATTCCGGGTATTATGTAAATACCATTATATTGAACCGAGTGTAGGATTATTTTTACACTTCTTTTGTATGTGTCCTTCTAATAAGACCATGAAGTGGGTTTCGTTGATAAGGCATGTGGACTTCCCGTTGTTCAAGCCTTTTACGTCATCCTTCAAGGGGTTCAAGTTGGGATTTTTGAAGGTAATAATTGACCCCATGGTTGGCCAGAACTACTTTTATGATTCCTAAGGAACTCCTCTGTTCCCTTTTTATTAGAAAAGGGTCCCACGAAAGTATGATGAATATTCGGTCGAGATGCTTATTCCGAACGAAGCTTTGTCCTTAGAGTACTTGCTGACTCTACCTCGAGAGATCTCGGCTCGATTTTTGGTTTTGTTGCCTAAATCACCTCGGCCTCGATTTGATCTAAATGGTATGT